CCTACTTCCGTAGTGATACTGCCTCGGAAACCCAAGGAGGGGTCGCTATGAGTCAGGGCTGACTCGACGGCACATAACGACGACGAACGAAGCAATATGTCAGCAGAAGTTTTGTTTGAGTTCAGAATATTTCTACTTTTGGCTTACTAATAGTATATTTAAGAGTATACACGGGAAAAATCAAGGATTTTTAAAAATATGCATGGGAAAGATTTATTTTTCCCTAAGGAAGTGTTGATAAACATATAAATGAACACTTCAGGGACAAGAAAAAAACTCTTAGTACTTGAGAAAACTAGATTAAAATTGAATATCAGTATTTACTTTCTTAGGAGCTCTGTTGGCATAGTGCCTAAGGCATTTGACTGCTAACCAGAAGAGTGGAGGTTCAAACCCACCAGCCACTCCTTGGAAGGAAGGTTGGGCAATCTACTTCCGTAGTGATACTGTCTGGGAAACCCAAGGAGGGGTTGCTATGAGTTGGACTAGGCTCGACAGCACTGAGTTTATTTACTTTTCTTACTCCTTATCACTATGACGGATAATCAAAATTCTTTTTAAATATCACTTACTAGGATGACTAGACGTCACATAACAACAACAACAGGATATTTTAGAGATACTTTACAGTTAAGAAAACAGATGTTTAGTATGAGTCAAAAGTGTGTGTGTATATGTGTGTATTTATACATAACCTTTTTCCCAAATGAGTTTGTTGTGACTTACAAGGATATATGTAAGGGCTAAAGGACCATGAAGATAAAAGATATCAGTTAGAATCTTTGTTTCTATTAGAAAACCAAACCCATGCTGGATATAATCAAGGAAACATAGAAAAACAGTTAATTTATTACTTCATACTATTGCAGAATATAAGACCATAGCTAGCTTTGGGTAGAGAACCAATAGCTCAAATGATGAAGCCACAATGCCAGTTTTCTGGTCTACCTTCTACTTTCTGAGCTTCGTCAGTAGGCTTTCCATGAACCCTATTGCCTGTGTATCGTTCCAAATTTTCCAAAAAGGCTGCAGCCTAACTCATAGATATTTTTAAGCCTAACAAATTGCAGACTCCCCATAATACTGACTCTGACCTCTGTTCCTTCTAAAATATTATAAATTACAATGAAACTGTACACTTATTCCAAGGGCATTATTCTCTGTTGCCAGACATTATAAGCTGCCAATTGGCATTTCAGTTAAAGCGCCTTTCTACTAATCAGCTTATAGTCTCTTTACTGAGTGTAAATCTACATTGTGTGATTTTCATATTATCATTTTATGTATCTTTAAATTATTAAAATTTTTTACATGCATGTGTTTTTTCCATGGTTAAGGTGCCTTTGACTAATAGCATCTTATTTTTGTCGTACTTGCAGCTGGTTTGTAAATATTTGAATCAAATTATGGGTCTGCTAGACAAACTGTCATGCTTGCTTGGCTTGAAGAAGAAAGAGGTTCATGTTTTGTGTCTTGGACTGGACAATAGTGGCAAAACAACAATTATTAACAAGCTTAAACCTTCAAATGTAAGTGTCTTTGTTAGATGCTTTATATATTTTCTACTACTAGAGAAAATGAATATGCAGTATTACTGTCTTTTGCTGTTACAGCTTCATATGATCACGGTATAAAATCCTATTAACCTTATAGTACCTTAAAGTAGTATCAATCACCATAATTTGAAGTTTATTTCATGCATGTGTATAGATTATATACATATATGTGTATATATATATAA